GGTCGGGATGGTGTAGTGGTGAAGTGCGCTGCTCGCCGGTAAGGACAACAGCGCGTGTTCGTTCCCCACTGCATACACCTGTGGTTCGGAGTTTTGCAAATATCTCAGCACTTCATACTGAGTAATCTTTCATCCCGCTCACGAAGCGACCAGGTTTCTGACAATAGGTTAACGGTCTCTTCTTGCGACACCTCAGTGATTTTTCGCACCGTATGTATGTGTTCTATCGTACTGAATAGTTTGTAAAACTTTGCTTTCTCACGAGATTGTCCTTCATGCAGTGTTCTGTCAATAGTGTTTAATGAAATCAGAGTGAAATGCTTGTAGACGATAGAGAGTAAGCAGATTGGGCGATAGTTGCCAATATCGTGAAGGTCATCCTTCTTGAACAATAACAATGTCTCAGGAAAGCGCATTATGGACCGCATTTGGGTCTCTCAAAGAAGTCACCGACGAACAATCTTTTCAACTCAATAGTCCATCCAGAGCTCGATTGTACAGCAGTGACATGGGCTGATACTTCAACGACGTCAAAAAATCTGTGCACCACTCACAGAGAGCTTCTACGATATCTTCTGAAATTTAAGCGGAACTTCCAGTAGTCGAAATGCGCATTTCACGTTTTCAAAAAATATCCTATTAGGTGATAGATGGAGAAAAAGAACGGTAGAGTGGACTCTAACAAAATGGAAGTGTTTTCTTAGACGGCTACACAAACAACTGGCGCACGAGGTCTTCGTGGCTAACTTCGCAGCCTATCTTCACTCACAGATGAATACGACTTCAAAGTTATGGTATAAAACCAGTACGTACCACCATGCTCGAATCAAACCACTACTATGGACGACGGTTGCCCGAGAGAAAAATGAATGGAAAATGTGGTAGAGCTCGCATCAACAGTGAAGACGGGGCGATCCATATATCCTAATAAGCATGAAATGCAAGTCTCAGTTGCGCTTCGTTCTTAAGCCTTCAGCATCATTAGTCTTCTTGAAATTACAAAACTACTTTGGAAAATAACTGCCTACCAATTGTGCTACATTCACTTTAAGAAGCTACAAATCCTGTCGTGCGTGGTGCCTGTAGAACACCTAGGAGAGGAGTCGTACAGGTCTTATCTTGTGAATATGGAAGTGTTTGTCAATTAATTAATCACATTAGAGAACCAGTGTGTGAGTCGCTGTCTTCAAATGTCGTTCATAGACTCAAAACGCTTTTCCCGCACTAGCTGAAGATTTGCCACGTAGCTTGCACATACCATTTTCTAGTTCAATTGTCTTCTACATTACAGCTTTCATATCTTCTAATGTCTCGTTCCAATACAACGACACCTTTATGCATAATTTTTCTACAGTACAACGACTAGGTCTTACTACAAAATAGTACTAACATTAACACTTAGCAAATAAACACTTATTTTAGTCGTCTCCAGCTCTAGACTCACCAAACCTTCCAACTCCTTGGAGTTGGCAGACTTCCACCAGATCTGTCCGGATGGATAAAATTAATGACTTGATACACCCTCAAGTCATTATATAGGCTAGATGTGCATTTAATCACCTACTCGATGAAGTCGGACGCATGCGTATTCCTCTGCGACTGATCAACGCCGGATCCCTAGTCAACACTTACAATGTTTCTGTGCTTAATATTGTCTTAGCCAGCAGCAGTCTTTCTGCCGAAAACAACAAACAACAAGGTTTTTCGAATTATTGATTGTAGAGAATAGCTTTCTATGAATGACGGTGATTACAACATTGGTGTTCGATAAAATATCGATTGATTACAAGAAGTGTGGGAAAACAGCTCTGCGCACGACGCTAAATCATAGAAAAAAATGAACCGTACACAGTTTATATTGTCCACGATGCCCCATCCCTACATAAGACTCGTATTATTGAAGTCCCGTCGTCGCGTAAGGTTTTGATGATTAACAATAACGAGAATAGTGACAAATCCTTATTACTACGTAAATACAGTGGTAAGAAATAACTGATGACAATTAATAATACACTAACACCCCCGCGACGATGCCTAACTTCCTGCTGGGGTTACTGGGAAATCCATACGTGTCACACTTGGCATTCTGATAGTATTAAGTAGCCCCGCCTCTTTGGTTGTGATTTTCTTTTCATACATCGGTTCTTCTTCGCATGTCAGGAAAATTTCTGCGCACTTTTCTTGTCCTGTGTATGCTTCATGTTCTTCTACACATTTTTAGTGCATATACAACTCTTGTGTATGAAGGAAAAACACTCGTCCACGATCCAATCATACTGCTGTCAGTATTCCATGAAGTTTTATAAGTTTTGCAAAGAATATTACGATGTTAACGTTGTGATTTTCATAGCCTCTCATTCCAATCAATATTACAAGTTATTATAACAATTGAAAATTGGAAAACAACGACTTGCTTCTGAAAAATGATGGTGCACACTGCATGTGTTGACAGTTCTTCGAAACAGAGGCATTTCTGCGCCTCTTCAATGGCTAAGAAGACACCTTTCATGGAAAACGGCCGCTATAGCATCTGGGTTGGCTAGGCTACCGACTGACTACAGGAACTATAGGGAAGAACTTCTGTGCACCAAAATAAACCAGTGGAAAGTAAATCACTGAGGACGTCTTACCGACCACTCCCGCAAAACCATTACGACACTTGTAGTTGCGAGTGTTAGAACAGTTTGGTTTAGAATGTTAGTAACTAATAATGATAACAATAACAATAATAATAATAATGACAACAGCATGAGATCATTTCCAGTGCTAGTGTTTATACTACATTTATTTGGTGGTTAGCGGCAGAATGTTCATAAACTTGGGAATGACTTTTTAATGTGTAAAATTTCTTATCGTTCACTTTAATACTTAAACTTGTGAGAAACTCAGCCATGAACCAAGCAGCGTCAAATCAATCGGTCACTGTTCCTTCCAAACCATAGTTAATATCCCATAAGAGAAATAAGCCAAAAAGTGAAACAACACAAGTGAGAATTGTTTTTATTTACAACAGCAACAAAGTCACAAAATAGAAGAAAAAGCTTAGTTAAATAAGAACGAATAAATACTAAGGAAGTAACTGCCACGACCGACTTTCTATTAACCTCGGCATTGATCAAGTGATTTTCTTCGTATTTTTGTTGAGCAAACGCGAGGTGTTACTATTCTTTGTTCACGATTAAGCTGACGTTTCGGCGGATTTCGCCTTCCTCAGTCTGGAAAGGTCAGGTTGACAGCAATCTATTCGGCCAGACGCCTCCATAACCAAACAAAGAAACTCCAAACCAACATTTCAATCACTTTGAACGCAGCTTTGCACACTCGCCGCTTTCTAGGAGGCACTCTGGATTAATTCCAGAAATCCGAAAATGAACCGCAGGGAAGAATGCCTCATTATCACGCGTGATATAGGGCAGTATATAAAACTGCTTTTCTGATGTGAGGGGCACATTATACTTCCACGTGATTTCTGTGCGGTTGGTCTCTACGTGACATACTTAGTGGAAACCTCATAGGAAGCGGTGAGTGTGCAGAGCTGTGTTCAAAGTGATTGAAATCTTGGTTTGGGGTTTCTTTGTTTGGTTATGGAGGCGTCTGGCCGAGTGGATTGCTATCAACTTGACCATTCCAGGCTCTGAAGAAGGCGAAATCCGCCGAAACGTCAGCTTAATCGTGAACAAAGAATAGTAACACCTCGCGTTTGCTCAACAAAAATACGAAGAAAATCACTAAGGAAGTAAAGCGAAGCTGATCTCTATATGTAAAACCACCTGTATATAAAACCTCTAAAAGAAGTTATGGTGAAATATGCGATAATGCTTGCAAACGGACGTCGCTGTTTATTTGTAAATGAAATTTTACGGCAATACCCAAAATACCAAAGAGTGCCAAAAATGGATACCAAAAAATAGGCTATAATATCAAGATGTAAATAAGGAAGTGGGAGAACAATAAAGTAAAATAATGAAATGCTGAGGAAACTAGGTACTAAAACACCTTTAGAAACTTTTCAAACACTCCCTTACAAAACAAGGAATATGTCCGAAAATGTTCAAAACAAGGAAATAAAATGTCCGAAAACAAAAAAAAACGTTAGGTTCTTTCTTTGGAATGAGTACATTTCCATCGTATTTCCAACACAATAAACAATTCCCAACAAGCAAAAGAGTAAATTTGTAGATTATTTACGAAATTTAGCTGCTTGCGAGTTATTCACTAGATACGGCAAGTGACAGAGTGGAGAGAAATACCGTGCAGTTGTTACAGTGCGATCTTCAGCAGCAGCAGAACTATAGTCAGGGGCTGTATAACTATAAACGCAGTCTACCTTGCCATCACTCTTTCGAAGTGTGGATCAAGATTTGGCGCCAAGATTGGCTTAGCGACCGTTGACCAGTTCTCCTCCCATGAAGGAAGGTTGTCGTCGAGTACAAACTGCTTCATTTGTTGCAGTTTCTGAACATAAAAAAGATATCTAACGAGAACTAATATGCCTTTATTTTAAAACCGTTTCCACTGTGTTCTCCTATAGGCATTTCCACTTAGAATATTCATGAACTGATGTGAGAGGAAAGAGATTTTAATCACGTTTTTTATATACTAAACGAGAAAATTTAGTCGCCTTTCGGAACACTACAGAGCTTTTTCAAAATTCCAAAGAGTTCATGGTAATCCCTAGAGAATTTCTGAAGTTATTGTTTCCCTGCATATGTACCGAGTATACCGAGAAAGTAACAAGAATAATGAAGGGAATAAAATATCGGATCAAGAAGTAGATGTGAAAACAGAAAAAGAAACGATCCAAATACCAGTGCTCCTGCTATTGAACATATTTATGAATTTGTTGACCAGATAAATTAACTATAATATATAATGGCTCTCCAGAGCCGGTTAATGGATAAACAAGTGCCTTAGTACTTTCGGAAAGCTGAATGACACTGAAGGAATAAATGAGATTGTGCTGAGAACGAAGCAGAGATCGCTTTGGCGTTTCAGAGCGATTACTTGCATAGTGCTGAATTTGTCAATGATATGAGAAGTATGCTTGCCTTGCAATGTGTTGGAAATCCAGTAGCTAGCGTATAAAGTTGCTGAAAGAGATCTGTCGCCGTGTCAAATAGATGACCATTCTGTCCATCCTGTACTAATTCGCCGATGCAGTTAAATCGCTTGGCTAACACAGGAATTCCAGCGCCAAACATATCCACTACTTTCATAGGTAGATCGAATCCTAAACAACACATGAAATAGTCTCAGAACAACTATAATCTTGCTTTTTTCATCCACTTCTTAAAAAATGGGCGACAAAAACGGTTCTGAAGAGTATGAAGTTGGGCTGCCACTATATAGCACATGTGTGTTATAACATTACATATTTGAACAACCTATGTATTATGACATATCAAAAAGCAATAGACGATCGACGATTTAAAAGTAAATAGAAAACACCTGAACTGCTGGTGTGAAGGGATACTCCTAGATCAGCGGTAGCAATCATTAACGGGTAGTCTTCCGATTCCAACCATAGTGTGCGAACCTAAACTTTCCTTGATAAAGGGAGAAAACCACTATTTGCATCAATTGAACTCCACTTTCATACCAATACATATGTTTGAGTAGAGAGGATTCAGAAATAGAAAAAATATGGAGCACACTTGAAGATCACCCTTGTGTTAGACGTATAGTCCTTTCAAAATTAAACAATTAAGTTGTTATAAGCATCTCGAAACACGCCATTTTTCCGAGATTAGAATACGTGGCAGAATTGCGTGAAATGGTTCATAAAAGATAAAGTTCACGGTGTCGATTTATTCCCGAGAGATGCGCTATGCATTTGACTTCATTAAGCACCGTTGGAGGGGACTGATTGCAAATCTGGTCTCTATGATGACTCACGGTGTCCTATCGATGCATCGACCCAGGGCTGCTATCTTTGCAGACAAGTCTGGTACCAGCTCGCCGACTTCGGAATGATGGAAGACTTGGTGGGCCTTGGGTGCGGGAATCGATCCCATGTGTATTGCAGGGCACCTCCGACCACTGAGCTTCACGCAAGAAATGGTTCATAAATATGCTAGATTATGTGAGATAGAACCAACCTCGACGAACTCCGTTTTCATTCGTTGAATCTTCTCCATGTAATATTTCTTCAATGGTCCACGTCCAGTTATTATGAGAACAATGATAGGTAATCGCGTAGCAGGAGATCTTCATTCCACAAAATTATTTGCTAATTTGACTTTCGTTTGCATTTGCTACTTTTAAAAAATATTTGTGTCATTTCTGTTTGTTTCTTGTCAACTGGTGCTAACAGTATTTATGTTAAATAAGTTGCTAATAAAAAAGTTGAAAGAAGTAGCTGTGAGAACTCTTTCGTCTAAGAAGTTAGACAACGAATGAAAGAAATGAACAAAATAACATCGTAGAAGCAAACGATGACAACAGCAACATACGAGCTTCTACTAATCGTCGCCACATCGTTGTACTTCTTCACGGCGTCCAGTAAAATCTGAAAATCCTCGTCTGGCGTCCAAGAGGTTGAAGAGATGACCAACAGCGGACGATCATCACGAAATTGCACTTGACCAGTGGACGGGTCTCGAATTGAGAAACGAGTAACTGCAAATTCAGAAAAATAAATTTTGGGGTTTTTAAAACTTTTTTTTTTCTTTGTAGTTTCCAACATTGAAATAAATTTATGCAGTATTTCATGTAAGTGTTAGAAGAAATTTATTGTAGAATATGAGAGCCGATGCAAAAATATCACACTGAAATGCCAAAGAAAAATGGAACCGAGGAACGCAACATATGTTGTAACCTACCATCTTCGGTAGGTTGTGCACCAAATACTTGCCCGTTTTCATTCAACCCAAGTCGAAGTAACAACTCATGTTTATCGGTCAGTGAGAATTCTCTAAAAACGTGAGTGCAGTAAGTAATTAGTGGGCAATATTTCTTCAATTTATGCAAAGAAAAACACTTGATTCTTCTCTAATGTACTGATGAAATTTCAATAAAACGTTTGTTTTGATTAACATGTTACTTGGATACTTGGATAGACACTTTGATAGCCCTTTTCCGAGTTTTATTGGTTTAGCCATTGTGCTTCCCTGGAGTTCTGAGGTCAGCCTAGCCAAAGTCTGCTCCAGGTCGTCACAACCACAAGATGTTGCCGCATCATTGAATCAGAGGGAGATTTGCCATCATGCGACTAGTTTGATACCGGGAGGATGGCGATTCCTGGTATTGGTTCACCCTTAACTGAGTTTCCAGATGGAAACACCGGACTCCTCAGTTTGGGAGACCCCGCTGGGGGATGAATCCCTCCGCTACACATCGTAGCCCGACACCCAGGAACATCTCCCAGCCACAACGAGATGGTAAACCGTTGAGGTGATTAAACTGTTTTATTCCAAACACTCAATTCTCGATTATTTTGCAAGTAGAAGCTTCTACATTGAACTTGAACTCTACACTAACTTATCCAAAGTCTTGTTATTTAAGAATGGGACGGAAATTAAAGATTTTCTTTCAAATATTTGCTTTAAGACATACGCAATTTATTTGGTGTCTGATACTATTGCATTTACTTCGTGAAAGTTATTTACACTCACCTAAACGTACCACTAAGAGGACGATCGTAGAATACAGCGGCGTGAACACCCCAAGCTTTCTGCATGTCCTCGCGCATTGCTCGAGTCACACAAAGACCAGCATCAGCTTTTCGACCGCAGGCACCCTCCCAACGATACACCCATTCGATGTATCTGCGGGACACAAATAAACCATTAAAAAATTTCGCATCGGAATTAAAATACGATAAAGCCACTAAAGTGCGAGGAATTAAACGCTACCTCCGTCTAAAATTTCTGCGTTCTTTTTTATCAACTCCACCAGTGTAACGTTTCCCTTTTGACGTCAAATGTGCCGCCTCTCTATCCTATAAGGAAGCGAATCGGCACAAAATTTAATATGGTAGAGCAGAGAACGAAGAATAAACAAATGGGACGTCAACAAGATATCAAGAGCAACTCGTGGAAATTCCATTCATCTGTATCACTTTTACATTCTTGTCCATCGTTGAGTTACTCATGAAAACCACAGCAAAGTTTCTATTTATCTCAATCGCGTTTAAGAACAGTTACACAGATTTTTTGAAGGACTCTTAAATTGTCGTTTTCTTTGTTCTAGGACACTTGAAAAAGTCTGACCATTGAGCCAGTGTTCTTGGATCCTTGGATCCAGTGAAAACTATGAATGGTCTATGTGTACCGATTGTCATCAGAATGTGCCATTTCTCTAGTCCACTTGATTTCCTTTAAATTTGTTGCCATACATGACGGCTCATTTGGTCTTAGGTTGACTATATAGGTCGGAACTTCCAAGCCCTCTCTTTTGCGTGATACCGAATACTCCTACATCATGCTTTTGACTGCACATTTCCGTTTAAATGGTGCCAAGGTTTCCGATGTATAAGCTAGGGCACAAAAAGTGCCCGAGTACGCGCATGGAATTCTTTTTATTCATCATTAGACTTTGCAAAATTGTCCAAACCCCTCGTTTCCTCTTGTCCTAGAACTGATGTGTTCACCATATTGACTTCTCAGCTGATATACATATTCGTTTGAATGGTGGATATGAATGGGAAATCAAGTAGGAATCTGTTCCCCATTAAAACAGTTTCTGTAAAGGTCAATGAAAGTGCTATTTTTCCAGATGCGGTGCCAAAATTGGCCAGCATTCATTCCATCTGCTTAGTGTTGTAACATCGATAATATCACCAAAGCAATCAACGCGTGGTTACTGGTGGTCGATTTTCACTTCAATATTATCCGACTCCAATTTTCTCACGGTGTTCTTAAGGATGGGAGTAAATAATTTTACCGGTATAATACCGCCTTGGTGAACTCCACTATTTATGTCAATAATAATGCCGTTGTATAATAGGATGGTGAAATTCGTGTTGTGCAGATTATAAAACATACCAATTGTGACTGACAAAATCAACACTGGAATAGCCAAGTGTATTGATGAGGAGTCGTATGATGTTTCTCAGAAGCTCAGCTATAATATTGCCGAGAACGGTCGCTGTTCGGTTCTCCGTCGACAAAACAACATCTCGAATTTCGAACGATAGAATCGCTGAGAAGACGTACCCATGTTCTCTAATCTGATAAAGAGACAAGTGGAGACGTCTACTGAAGATATTAGAGCAGAAATTATGGATGATTTTTTCCATAGCCCTCCTGCAAGCAGTGGTGTTGCTAGGCTTGGAAGGCTATCATATCGATCTTGTAATGAAATCTCAGCAAGTGTTGCGAATGCTCTTCTCCACCTTACTACATTCACCCAGTACTGTGTTTCTGCTATTTTCTCCTTAAAGTCTTTTCTAAATCGCTTCTATGCGAAACTATGCAACTTCAGACGCATGTTGATGATTGCTTGTAGCTCATGCGAATACACGTTGCAGCATCAGCCCGAGTGTTTATGGTGGCAGACGTCACTTATTTATTTCAAAACTTTTGCTTCGTTAGCAACATCGTGGCGGTGCTAAACAAGCTGATTGTGTACTTCACCAATACTAAAGACAACGATATCTTTCCAAAAACAGTTTAATGTTTTGACGAAATACCGACCTACGACAGTTTTGAGTCTCGTTCTCTTAATTTTGTGGTCTTTTCGGGTAAAGAAAAATTCTGAGCGAATAAGACAGTGTTTCCATCCTACGAAAAACGTTGGAACAGTCGAGACATCAGCTATGTTATACTTTCAACTTACTATAACTTACAACAACATTTTATTCCATTCTACTCTGTATGGACACCATAGTGTCAACAGCGGTTTGAACCAAATGACCGTATGGACACCATTGTGTTCATATTCAGTTTCGTTGTTTCCAGAGTTTCTTTTCTACTGCAATATCTATATTGACTCGATAGTTAATCGAAAGCAGAACAGAGTGGGAGGGATGAGACCAGAGAAACCACTCCCTGTATATAATCGTTTACAAGAAATCTTCTTACAAAAAAGTAATTTGACTAACAATTAACTCTTACTTCATTTTAGACACCATGGTTACTGTATGGAATCTGCGGATACGAAAAACACTGAAATGAACTCCACACGTACTCCAGAGTATTTCCAAATACCGACAACAATACAATTGCAATACGGACCATAGTAAGACATAATATATAGTAGCATACACAACACTCATACTCATTGTACGACGAGGCAAAATCTCCTATTATGTCCAAAAACCCCAAAATCCTCTACTTTTTGAGAAAGATTTTTACTGTCCAGAAATCAGGAAGTCCAGGGTCAACGGAAAGCTGCTAGTACTTGATTGGGCCAGCGGAGAAAAATTGCGCCAAGGCGCAATGGGTTTATTACTTGAGAAATAATTTTTATACGTTAAGGATAAAGGATAAAGCTCTCGACGTTTTCAGAAAAGAGATTTTGCAGTTTGAAAAGTTTGTGACGCTAGCCCAACAGCTGCAAGCATGAGCGATGCCTTTCATGCACCATCGCGTTGTGTGCTATGAAATCCCAACTGCTCAAAGTATTCGAGTGAAAAATACTTGGATGGCTCGTCTTCACTACTTGTGCGTGCCCCAGCATAGGTTCCATTCTCCGGAGACTTGTTGGTTTAGCCATTGTGGTTCCATAGAGTCCCGAGGACATCCTGGCCAAAGTCTGCTCCAGTTCTTCACCACCACAGGCAGTCGCAGCCCTTGTGGATCAGAGGGAGATTTGCCACCAACCATGCAAATAGTTTCAAACCAGGATTGTGCTGGATCCTGATATTGGTTTACTTTTAGCTGGGCTTCCTTATGGAAACGCCGAACTCCTCAGCTTGGGAGACTCTGCAGAGTGGATGATTCTAATTAAAAAAGCGAAAGAAATGTTCTAGGAAACAAAAATGGAAATCTAGCCGAAAAAGTGATAAAACACATATTTCGCTGCCAAAGGGCTTTAGATCCCAATGGATTTTATTTTAACTGACAAGGTTCACTATGAGTCGAGTAAATGCGCAAGCGCCCACGAATGTGTCAGAAAACAATTTACGAGCCCTCTTACCACTTTACGTCGAACTAGTGTATCCTTCGTTGACTCCTTGTTTTCAAAGCCATCTTCTCCTAGTCGTGGTAGTGTTAGTTGTTCAATGCCTGGAAAAGAAAATTAAGTACGAAAATCGCCAGCAATTCCATAGGGAACCACGCTGTGGTATTCTAAATCTCAACCTTGTTAACATACCATATTTGTCCTTTATTATAGACCACATATAATTGTGCCAATCAATTACAAATTTAGCGCTTTTCAGACGAGCGACCTAAACAGCCAATGTTTATAGGGTATTCAAGGACTCGAAAAGAGAAGAGTGAAAAAAAAAACAGAAAAAAAACAGTTTTCCTGATAAAGAATCATGACATAACATTTAAAAGTAGGAAAAAACACACCATCCAACAAACAAACATTGTTGGCAATGCTGGAGGATTCTGCATCAGAATCAATTTTACATCCCAACCGACTCTGGAAAAACATAAACAAACCAAAAAATGTTTGAAATTTTTAGAAATGGATATTCTAGCCAAATCAAACACCTAAAAAGAAGCGCCCATGAAAGGACTAAAAACGTCCATATAAATTTCAAAGGCAACTGCACGGCTTCTGGAAGGCGTGCAAGACAATCCGGTGGAGGTACCACAGCGACATAACTGAATCATGACGTTTAATAAAATAGCGCCGTTCAAATGTGTACATCTATGAGTAAGGAAATGCCATAATATGATTACAAAAGAAAAGAAAAAGGAGAACTCACTTAATGCAAGGATTGTTGTGAATGAGTGGATGAGGAGTTGATTCGAGATATCCAATCAATTTTACATTATAATCAAGTTCAGTCGCCAATGAATATGCATGGTAACACATTCGTGGACTTCGGCCAATGTCACCAAGCACCACTACGGCGGCTGTATAGCGCCTACAAGATCTCATAACGAATAACGGCTGTTTCAGAATTTCCACTACTTCGTTACTCCCTACCTAGGAATTTTCTGAAGCACAGTTGCCTTTGGTAACTTGTTGGTCTACCACGAAAAAAATAATGGGGGATAAATAAAAGGTAAACGTTGTGCTTTCGACTGCAGCTTCGGCTTAACTGGACTCAGTGCCGATTTGTGTTCCCCAGATCATTCTCACTGATGGGTAATTGCTGATAGCACCACTAAAGTAAAAAAAAAAAAACTGTTTAAGAAGAAGGTAATGCAAGGACCTCGCTAACGCAGTGGATAACACGTCGGCGCGCGGTAAGGGTACTGGCGGGTTCTAAGCTGAGCTGGGGTTTCGAGTTTAGCTCATATAACAGCATCTTTATGCTTTAAGGTGACTTATTTATGATGGGTAATTTATGGTATGGTTCTATTCTTACAGGCAGCGCTCGTTGTTTCAAAACAACTCCAGTACTTCTATAAATCAGAACATAAGGATTTTTGCCGCATGCATACAAATATTTTCTCTTCTACAAATATTGGGCGACAATTCGCTTTTGGAGTCATCAAGAAAAAACAGGATTAACCAATAATGGCTATTCGTCGCTATCAAATTTCACGCTATTTCGTTCCTCACTTGTCCTACAACAACGAAGAATTCCTCTAACGAAATGTACATTTCTTCTTCATGTTTGGCAGTGTTGTCCATTGAGTTTTCGCTCAGAGGACATAAAAAGCTGTCCTTATTTAGGATTTTCGCTAAGCAACTGGCCAATGCTCTTCATGTTTTATCAGCATAGATCTCAAGAGATCCAGTAGTAATGACTCTTTCTCACCGGATGTTGTCCAGAAGCATAACAGAAGCATAACCAATCCGAAAGTGGTGCTCAAGAATTTCCGTAAGGCTTCAGAGCTATGACCAGAATTCGGCTACGTTGTTGTAGACTCCAAACTTCATCGCGGAATAATACTAGCACTACTATATAAAACCTTTATCTACTGTCCATTATTTTCTCACGGCAGGGTACGATATGAAATAGAACCACAATGACGTTGAGATATTTGCAAAACTTGGACCGCGAATACCCTTTCCGGGTGCTCAGATGTTATGCAGGGCATCATTGAGGCCATCGCTCTATCTTTCTCTCGGCCAGTCTTTTACGCCAACGGTGCCATCAGCAGTCACCCATTAACGGGAACGATGTGGGGGGGGGGGTACAAATCGGCATTGAACACAGTAACGCTGAGACTGTAATCGAAATCGTAATGTATAACTATTATCTACTGCTGCCTACCACTTCTTCACGGCAAAGTATTATGTGAAATACAACTACAATGGTGTTGAGATATTTACAAAGCCTAAAACTCAGGCTAGATCGAACCGCGATTACACATTCCGGGAGCTACACACGGTCACACTGAGGCCCTCGTTCCGCCTTCTCTCAACCAGTCTTTTTACCTTGCCCATAGATTTGTGACTTTAACTCTAGGTTCGGAAAATAATTGATGGAATAAACTGCAAGGAACCATAAGTTTTTTAAATTCTAAAAAAAGCAAATTACATCGGAACACTTGCCGCTGTAAAACAACGTGTCAGCAAACTAATTTTGATTTTTCCTTCACCTATTCTACTTTACTTTACTTTATTTTACTTCACCGCAATACTACTTTTGCAATATGCAATTCATGGCAATGGATATTATGAATGGTAAAGACTAATATTACCCTTCTGATGGGCCATTCGATAACACCGACTACACCTTCATCCAGTTTACGCAAACTCCTAGTCGAGGAATTTCCTGCAAAAGTTTCAACGGTCTTGAAAGGAAAACAATAATTTTGAACCTGACCGCCTTGAAAGGTTCCCAAGCGGCAAAGTCAATTTTATTCCACAGCACAGTCATTCCTAAATTTGGTACCCCGAACAAAATATCAACATGTGGACAGCACTTAGACATATTGGTTCTATTGAACAGGACATTACTGAATGTGAAGGGAACATTGGGAACTAGTCGGTTTCTTCTAAAAAACGTTGTCGAGAAGATCAACGGTTATGCCGATTTTCCCATCTGCGCTGTCGTAATTGGGCACTAATGGTTCAGCCTGGTTTACGCTTCTTGCTATGGAAACGGTGTCATCAGCAAAACCAAGAATTCTTAGCTGTAAGCCAACGACTTTTACTCCCATATTATTTCGTTCCCGCTTTCGCAAGATGTTCGAAACTAGCCGTAAATAAGAATTGCAAAGCGAAGTCGCGTCGGTTAAGCTCTGTTTTCATACAAATGGTAAGAACGTTGCAGCACGGTGAAATCCTGATAGTGAAGCTGCTCTGTAGGCGATGAAGAAACTGTGTGTACTGGTAAGCAACGTCGTCATGGCTCATAGTTTTGGCGTGAAGGAATTGTGTGCTTCATCCAAACGGTTCTTTCAGCAATCACCCGTTAAGGGAATGATTTGGGGAGCACATGCCGGCATTGAACCCCAGTTAAGCTAAAGCCTCCCATATTTCAGGATCGTTGTAGTTCACATACCTTCCCATGGTAAAAGAATACGCGCTAAATAGAAGTTGAAACATTGTCTAGTTATGTCATACCCTACCATGAAAAAAGAATAGCAATAAATAAAAAAGTGATTTATACAACAGCTTCAGCTTAATTAAGTTCAATGCCGATTTGTGCTCCCCAGATCAATCCCACTGATGGAGTGATTGCTGATAAAAGCTCAAAGCTTCTATAGAAAGATAAAAGCTCTGGACGTTGATCAATCCATGAGGGATGCGCCATGCATTCGACTTCATTAAGTATCATCGTAGGTGATTTAATGCACATCTGGCCTTTACAACGACTTGCGGTGGCCGACCGATGTATTTCGCCAGTGCTGCTATCCTCTCAGACAAGTCCGGTACCAATTTACCGACCCCGGAAGGATGGAAGACTTGGTGAGTCATGGGCACGGGGATCGATTCCACATGTGTCGCAGTGGCGGCTCCAACCACTGATAGTACAGTGGTGATTGCCGATAGTTAAAAAAAAACGACTAGGAGAAAGGCGAAATGAAAGACTCGCACGGCGTGGTGGTGAACACGTTAGCCCCCCGGAAAGATAATAGCGGGTTCGACCCCCGCCGCAGGCACTTGTAGTTCGGAGTTTCGCAAATATCTCACCATCATTGTGATTATATTTCTCTAGTTAGTTCATATTGAAAAGTATGTACAACAAGCGACAACACATTGAATATTACAACAAATGTGCTCTCTTACGCTGAACATTGAGTAAACACACCACAAGAAGCCATTCACGCAGTACCTATTAGAGATAACTATAAAAATTTTTACCTCATTATGGAATAGACTTCGATAGACTTTCCTCGACCTTACGAGCCTTTTCAAGATGTGCTAAAATATGCTTGAAATTTATTCAAACCCTCTTCACACAAACGTCTAAACGGCCAAATGAAATCCACATGGTAGTTTTTATAAGAGATAATGGCTCACCTTTGTTGTCTTTCCGTACCACAGCAATAGCTTCACGGAAGTAAAGAGAAATACCAGCGGGCTTCACGTACACAAATTTATCCTGTAGCAGAAAAATTTTACGGAATTCTGGGACTACATCGTCTTTGCTTTTAAAAATTTTGGGAGCTAACAACTAGAACTAGACTATTGCTAACATGCCAAATTGAATCGCAACAAATCTACACACAAAGGGATATCAGATAACACTTGTCTTCCTTGAATCAAGAAGAAAAAAAAGTTACGCAAAACACTTATTCTGTAAACCATGAAAACTTCACCACCTATAACTAATAAAGACAGCGTCGAAACAACACCTTACACTTCTCCAAGTATCTAGCTTGAAGCTCCAGTTCCTCGACGACGGTCAGTTTCCTATGGAGGTCAACGCTCATTCACTGGAATACCACTCTCTTTTTCAAGTCTTTCTTTTTACTCTTTTCGAGGGTGAAGATATCGATCGATCACATAAAAACCTACCGACTGATTATCACGGCAATTTATTAAAATCGATTACTCAAAAAACATAAATGGATAAATAGATACTTCAATGTGTACTAGAGAACAGAAAGATGACTTCCAGAGATGTCATACAAATGAATCACGTCGAAAAATGGCCGAAAACACGATGGAAAAGTGCATTTACACAAAATATCCAAAATAGTTAGGAAAAAACCTCAGGAAGTGCAAAAAAAGGACAAAGGATCATACATTCATCAGTCTAATGACTGCAGTGTAATACAAAATTCATTTAAAAACAAATGGAAACGAACATACATCCTAGAGATCCTTTAAGAGAAATATGATGAGGATACAATCATACGGAAGACATGTATATAAGTTTCGACAGTAGAGAGAAAATATGACTTTCAATGACCTCAACAGGCCTCAACTTAGTATAGAACAATTTTGAATGTAAACATTGACAAGATGATTAACACAAAATGCTTGTAATGAAAAGGTATACTTCTATATTATTAACAAACGTGAAAAAAAGATATAGCAACCATTTTATACATTACTTCATATCAAACTTCACTCACAACGCATTGACTTCATTGAGCTCTTTCACGATTTGACTGAGTTGCATCAATGCAAGCTTCATTGGAATCTTCGTACTAACTGAACATATGGGCTGAGCAGTCGACGATGATGAAGATGTGGATGTCGGAGGCAAGTCGGGAGATCGAAGTGCAGGTACTGGCGAAGGCATAAATGGTGGCGTCGTTGAAGCTGGTGGTGGAGAAATATCTGACACCGGATTATCAGCAAAACGAGCCCTAGAAAACGTTAAACTATGAACAGGTGTAGATGTACTTTACAGTTAGAAAACACTGCTGAAAACAAAAAAACGCTATAATGAACATGGGATATGAAAAGCCATACTTTCTCTGTTCTTGTGGTTTAGACGGACCACGAGCTGTCGACGAAGAGATTTGCTCGCGTTGCTAAAAAGTAGAGTGCATTGAGAAAAACTCTACTCCAGCAAAACAACTAAGGAATTACGAAAACAAAGTGAGACAGTTCCCAGCTAAGGGATTTTAGAAATGGGACCTATGGGATTCGGACCAACAAGTTCCCAACCGTGAAAAAATGATAGTAGGCAGTAAATAAAAAGAAATAAAAAGTAAACAATATGGGAACTAATATTTGTTCACATTAGAATCGAAAAATGAATTCGCATCTAAAATATAACTGCTTTCATACCGTCGTATCACTTGGTGAAATTTCTTTCGGTGACGGTTTTGGAGAGTCTGAAATAGAGGATAAATGTTCAAAAACACACTATTACTCATAGCATCCCACATAATAGACTAAATTTAAAAAAGAACTTACTGATTTGCGACATTACAGGGGATGAGTGCTGCTGCGCCATGGACGATGATCCGTTTCGCATTAAAGAAGAAGCTTCAACAGCCTAGAAATCTTAGCTTCATAGTCTATACAACGATAAACCATCGCCCTCCTTTGTATGAGATATCTCTAATCTGTTAACAGTGGAGCTAACAAGGCCTTGAGTAGCAGATAGGAAGTTAAAAATGGATTAGAAATGACCACTGATCAAATTTGAACGTAGATGAGATTCAAAGGATGGATATTACATGGATTTACACCTTATGCATGCAGATGGCAATAATTTTGTACATACGAATGAATACTTCTGCATATAGATGGATTGCGTCCTGCATTTCGGCCGGCCAAAAGCCTGCACGAAGATGACTGGAACGTGAGTGGATAGAAAGAAATTCAAATTCGCTCCTAGCAAATTAGGTCCGTGTTAATTGAGGAACATGACAGGCAATTCCTTAGTACATCTAATTTATAGGGCACAGCCAGATTTACGAAATGGGAATGAAGAATTTTTAAAGAAAGCTTCAGTAAAATGACAATTAACTCGTCCCAGCCTATAAAAAGCGACACGATTACTCTTCCTAGATATTATACATACATACCGTTCCGCCTGTACTGATAGCACCAAGTGATCCGCGTGAAGGTCGAGAAGCCGCAGTTATAAATTCGGTTGGAGGTCTACAATTTAATATTTTTGGCAAATATGTAACACAAAAATAATCAAGAAGTAATTCTTATACTTAGAACAGAAATAGAAGAAAACAAAAGAAGACACCTATATGTGTTGTCTGTACTGGCAGCGTGCTGACGTCTCGGCGCGGGGGATAGTGCTGGTGATTTCGACGGGGCTGATGCTGTCGACGGTGGAATATCATGTAGACGTGGCATGAAACCAGTTCGAGGTGGTACACAATTGCTTATGTTGGGACATCGTTTCACTTGAACTAAATGAGAAGAAAACTCATTTATAGCCATCGAATTATTGGTATAGGCGTTCTGAAACCTAGAAAACGATCAATAACTAAGAACAGGTAAGAAATAAATAAACTGCCACTATAACAAGCTCACTATGAAGTGAGGAGACATAACTGCTAAAATAAGTGGAATTACCTGCTTTCGTGTTCTTTTCATCACAGTTAGTGCCGCTCTCCTCTCCGTGGTGTTTTGGCTCCAGTTTATAGATCTTTTTGTCTTTTGGTGGACTTATATTCTAAAATTTCCACCGGGATTTATTTTGAAAACAACTCCTACACCTTCATTATGAAAAAATATCAAAAAGATAAAACATACTGTAGTTTCAAAATATAAAGAACTTAGGGTCTAATCACCATAGACAACATACCAGTTTAGATTTACGATAGGCGCTTTGCAATTGACCAGTTCCGAGTTTCATTATCTCAGCCATTGGATCATAATTGTATGCATTTGGCACAACAGGGCCGTCCTAATAAGATTACTTATTATTTTTTATCTGAATCTGCACATGAAAACTATAAACAGTAATGACAAGCCTGAATAGGCGCTAAAGGTAACCCTCCCACAAACATTGGCTTGTCTTTTTTCGGATCATGTTTCTTTTTTGAGCCTTTAGGAGTTCCTAAAAGTTTATATTCTAACATCAGTAGCAAAAGCAGGAAATAATAGCTATTTTATTGAAAATCTCATCTGTCACCTCCTAATGCGTCTTCAAAAGATAACGATGTTCTCCTTTTCGGAGTTTTCTTATCCTTTGTTTCCTTTGGTTTCTTCTCAACTTTTTCCATCCTTTTTTTCTCGAATTTGCTTGATTTTCTTTTCGGCTGAAAACCATTGGATTGAATGACACAAAATCCACTACTACGAATTAAAATGACTCTTTATGGAGTTAAACACAACAAACCTTTTCTTCATAGTCCTCGTCTTCATCATCTTCAGCTTCTGCGCTTGTTTTCGTGTCCATTTCATAATCATCGTCAACCTGACGTTTGTGTGATGCCGATGTCGATGGTTTAGAAACGTTCTAAAATTTAAAGTACGATGACGACAACTCTTTGGTCCCCCTTCCATCAAAAACCTATTCCAATTTCCCTACCTAAAAATGGAACATAGGAAATGTTCGCTTGATATTTTTTTTTGTTCAAATATTTTTGAGAGCCATGCGAAACAATTATAAACAAGCACAGGTCACCTATCTTTTGAATATATTTGCGAAACAAATGGACTGAAACAGTCTTCACCACCTCATCTTCTGGATCATTTTCGGCTTCGTTCTTCCCCTCAAACACTTCTGCTGCCTCTTCTGCCTTTATCGAAATCTCAAGAGTAGCGTCTTCTTCCGTTTTCTGAAAGCACAAATTTGTTTAGACGGCCTACACCCATGGTGCAGCCTTCATCGGAATTCCCACTAAACTGGTATTTTACTGATTGAGTGGCAGCGTATCTATCGCGCTTTCCCTATTTGTAAATCCAAACTAGATTTTCCATCTATCGACTAGGTTTCTTCAAAGCTGCTGACGATTCCTGGCGCAGATCTAGTGTGGCGGAGAGGGGTTTTATATACAGAGGTTATTCTTCCTTTGAATAGAAAAACCTGCCAGAGGGATGAAATCTGGCTGATACACATATAAAACAATTCACTAACAGTCAGGTCATTTTTGCTATTGTGGGTCGGCGAAGAAACGAAATCATAAATGAGATCATCATTTTGAATAAAATAAATAGCGATTGGAAGCGTAGAAGTTGTATAACTACAAAAAATCTTTTCCCAAATACTTGAGAAAACAGGTTCGAAGAAATATGAGGGAGCGCGAATAGGAACAAATTATAGTATTTGAAGAAATAAAGTGTCGAAATTGACCACTGATACAAATAACAATGTTGAGAATCTATTTGATTTCCAGATTAAAAACCAAGTAGGAACGAAGAAAGGATAAACCACCTGACTGAACAAGAAACGAAAATAAAACAATTCCAAAAGTATAAGAAAAGTAACCATTTCTGGTTCACCACCACCACTTGTATTATCTTCGACAGGTGCCTCATCTTCCGTGTGTGCATGATCCTAAAAATTCCCAAAATTCTTGCTACAAATTGTAAATTGAACATACCACACTGCCTCTTACGACATTCATTAACTTCTAAGCATAAAGTAGCCACCTAGAAGCTTGCCTGCCCTATCCTACCCTTCCACTGGAATTATTCTAAACAATCAAAAAATAATAATCCTAAACTCACTATATTAGCCTCTGTTTCTTCACCTCCCGACTCTTTAGCAACGCTAGACTGTTTCATTGGATCTGATGCGCAAGAACTCTGAGACACGAATAACTGAGGAATTCTAGTCCACAATACTACGACAAAATTTATGTACTTCTGTAAGATCTCCAACCTTCCAAAAAAAAATTCATCAAGGAAAGAGATTTCAACAATGTAGGATTTCAGAAGAAAAGCAACTAACTAGCGAAAGTTTCCTATTCGCCCTCTTTGGCTTTTGATCACGAATAATTCTTGGCGGCAAAAGATTCAGTTCAACCTGAAAATTTTAGATTACTAGTAGGATCATGTGAGAACTCTCCTTCCTGTCAGAAAGCTCACAGCTTTCCGCTGGAGAAAAGGCTTAACAAGGCATGTGTCAACCAATTCCCGCTACATTGATAAAAACATAAAATGAAGGAAAAAATTCCGTTATGCCATGGCCTTCAAATCTGGTCTGATTTTAGAAATTTTTCTTTACATTTCCGCTAATTTCTAAAAGAAATCTCAGCTTTAATGATACAAAGAGTGCTCGCTATCGAATTGTAAAAATCTTTTGAAACAACAACTACTACGATGAACAAACTGTAATGAGTTTCTTACCAACTGTTGTCTTCTTCTCTCCAGAACACAACTGAAACAGTTCAAGAGACTGGCAGGCTGAGTAATGCCTTCAGCTACATCCAAGAGCCGTTTTTTGCGTAAATATTCGCATAATCGTTCGTATTCAGGTAACAGTAGATGGGAGATGTGATCAAGCTCCACTGTAAACAGTACACTTATAAGCAAATCTGTCCGCGTTATACATAAACAAATTTACCTATAAGACCAGACGAAGATAGAGACTAACCTTGGTTGAATTCAATGGGTGGTTCATTTTCTATTGGATTACGATGAGCACTAGTAGAACGCCCATAAAGATCGTGGAATATCTGCGAATTTCTCAAATCACTGAGGAAATCGACTGTGTTCGAATAAGAGACGTACCGATGCTTCATGATAGAAGATGGTAGGATCCACATTACAATGGGGTGCAGAGTCAGTGGATGGTTCATCGCCAATTCGTTCTCCATTTTGTTCTGCTGAGTTGTCTTCTTCCACCTCAGTGCTTCGCTCAGCTGCCTGTGGCGTTTCAGGCGATGCATTTGAAACAGCCGTGTTGTACAGCAACGTATTTTCAGCGTGCATGGCAATGACATTAACCACTCCTAAAATTGATTCATGTCTTCAGCACGCATTCCGCTAGCCATTAAAAAGTACGTACCTTTTTGATACTTAGGGTTAAAGTAAATAAAGGTAGTTCTGTGTATATTCTAACCCTAACCACTTTTTCGTTTCGAATAGTTTCCATAATGTAAACAATTTTTGCTAAGTCATAAGTCGAAAATTGACGCCAAGATAACTCTAGGCGATAATTTAAAACAATCTTCCACAGAAATCTATAAAGGGTTGTGTTTCTTTAAATTTAAGCAAAAACATTCAGCCTACAACGAAAACATGTCTTCTTCCAATAGATTCAAATAGTTATGAAACACCTAGCGGATAAAGTAGCGGTTAAATTGGACTACAAATGAATCAAAATATAAACACAGCGGTCCTGCTTCAGAGGCCAACACTGTTCATCGTTGCGAAGCTTTGTTCGATTCGGATCACACGTTCCGATAACCATGATTCCTCATCGAATTCATTCCACAACTCGCAGAGCAAGGATGATTTTCTCATCATTAGCAGAACACTGTAAGATGCGTCGAACCAACAAGTGGTGATATCATAGGCCGCTGCTCTATCCACTTAAGTTTACAGCCACATTCTTCTCCACATCGAAAACTCAACAAACCGTTGTCTTGAATTTCTGACTGATTATCGACAGCAGTAAGATCTTTCGCTTGCAGTTGCATGCCACCGCTAATGTAATCCTGGTAGTTAATCTAAACATCTCATACAATTTGTGTGCAATTTATTATTATGCCAATTTTCCCTCGGATAAAAACGTCCAAAAATCATAACTTCGTAATCTACACGTAACTCATTGCCACGGAAAATTTCCATTCTACAAAGCTATTTGATTCAGATGCTTCTTGACTCACCATTTTGCGGTGGTTTCCTTTTTGTTTCCAAAATTTTCCGACGTAATCAAACCTGAAGAATTCTAAAATATTTGGGAAGGTTAAGGAACGATTTTTTGGTGTCGTACCTAGCATTGTCAATGCGGGCTGGCCTTATATAATGTCGACCAGTGCACCTCAGTACGACGTCGGCAATCACGTAGAGCATTAGTTCCTCCATATAAGGAAAACGGAACTTTTTCGTGATCTAAACTATGAAAAAACTATGAAAAAAAAAACCGTTTTTTTTAGCAAACCATTAATACTGAATTACAATCGAAAAACAGATGCTTAGCGAAGTTTCCCAACTGTTGATCGCTACCAAGAAAAGAGGGCAAATAAAAGTGAAAAGCGTCCCAAAATTTTAACATAGTCTAGTATATCCAGCTTTATCAAAAAAGACTCGGTTTGTTACATCCTCCTCGAGCACTTGGTCAACTGATATCAGGATTCGCTACCGTCATACAAACCGTTTTCGCTGTTAAAAAGTCCGAGCGAAAGGGCAATAGACCTCTTTCCAATCCACAAAGAATGGCAGGTGCCAGTGATAACGACCTGGAAACGAGTTAGGGCGGTTATTTCAGATCTCTAGGGGTGGCCATATTCAGTGATCACGTGACACGTCAACGGGGAAAGAAATTTACAGATCCGCTTCCCTTCAGCCGAATTTACAACCGAATCCGACCTCCTTCAGAAAAAACGATTGCAAAATAATGAGACAAAGAGAACAGCTGTGACTCAGACGACATGTGAAGACAGTTCATTTATTTAGCTAGGCAGATTTTAATAGAACTCAACCAGTTCCGAGCAAACTAAATGATGAAGCAAATGCTAGTTGCTCAACAAATTACTCCTAAGGTCAAATAGAACCTTTGAAAAAAGAATTAAGACAACATAAAAAACAATAGTGGAAAAAAAATGTACCAAATTTGAATAAATCTCAGTAATGAGCAAGAATGGTAACGTTCCATGAAGATGAAATGTTCTATAAGATTTGAAACCAAGTAAAACTCACATTAATACGATTCTCACTGAGATACACCTGGATTTGCATGTCGGCACGAAGCGAGTGGAGGAAATTGCCACCAAAAACAAGGCTATCACAAGGAGTATAAACAGCATGAATCCATCCTAAAAGAAACTACCGGTAAAAGACTTAGGGACTGTGGATAGGAAACAGTGAAGCATAAACCTGACGGTATTATCGTTGTGGTACCAGGGTTTAGTACCACTCTACAACACTTTTCGACCACATTGCCAAAAAAACCCGTCTGTTCGGGATTCTTCACAAATTCCTCGTATAGACGAATATTCGTCAAACTTGGTTCGACCATCCAGAATACCTTAACGGAGGATAAATCATCGCTTAAATTTGCAAGTGAATTCAAACACACCTTTTGGCCTTTAAGAACATGATACCACACTGAAGTGCCACCGAAATCAACATGAAAATCCGTGTAGCAACGTTCAACACTCATCAAACAATAGCTAAAAATGCAACACTGAGGAATACATTACTGTTTATGCCGGAGTCAACGACAGGATGGAGGTTAAAGCTTGAAGTAACACTAAGAAAATGAGAAGTTGTGGATGCGTTACGACTACGTTAGTAAAGCAGATCATCAACAACGAGTTGACCATTATTCTAATCTGTCGGTACTACGTACTTTTGCACTTTTGGATATGTGTGATGAGGTGTATAGTGTCCTTTCTTGTTAAACGTGATATACCGCTGACGTAACGCATCAGGCCAGTGATTTTCAACCCAATCTATTCGACGGACTAGATCAGGAGACTGGATAATATCCTAAAATAGAAAATAACTAGATGATACTGCTCTACTGATTCATTTGTTATTCTAGCTAAGAGGCTAAAAACTACATGATAATACGCATCGGTTTAAGAAATTAGCTGTTGACGATACCTCCATCTCAGTGTTGGAGAATTCTAGTGACAACACATTGTACAGTGTCTCCCTCTTTTCCGCAGGAGTACTGAAAACAGAGATACAGCCTCAGTCCTCTCCCACAATTAATTCTTACTCTCTTCTCTAACTTTTGCGAGTGTACAACAGTGCAGTGGTGCTGTATTAAATAAAAAAAAGAATAAAGCTCTTGGTGTTGATCAATTCCATAAGGATGCGCCATGCATTCGACTTCATTTAGCATTGTTTGGAGGTGATTGAATGCATATCTGGCCTTCACAATGATTCACGATGGCCTCCCGATGTATCACTAGTGTTGCTATCCTCCCAACAAGTCGGATACTATTTCGCCGACCCTGGAGGAATGAAAGGCTTGGTGAGCCTGGGCATTGGGATCGATTCCATGTGTATTGCAGGGCGCCTCCGACCACTGCGCCACATGTGTCCCGATGCTGTATTACTTTCAATAAATGTGAACACTGAAGGCTTACTTGTAATAATCGACGAAATCTTGCAACGTCATTTTAACACTTGTTTGGCCGCTGACCTCGACAACCTCAATCATGCGATTTCCACCAACAAGCCTCAAGACATCGTCAACACAAAAATCCTCTGCTTTTGGCATCCTATCAAAACACTGCATGAGGGATTTTTACACCATGCATGAATGAGAGGGTAAGCTTGTGATGAAAAAATCATAAAAGTCAACAAAATATCCCTCTTAAAAAAAGCTGAAGCTGAAACAGAGATGAAAAACGACAACAGAAGGAAAACCTAGCAACTGACTTCATTCCGAGTTCATGAGGATCACAATGGAACAAAAGAGGGGTAGCTAGACGAGACTTCTCGTAATAATCAAGGTTGAACTCTGAACAAAATCTATGGGTTACTGGTAAAAAGAAGTGTTTGTCACCAGACGGATACAAAAGAAAACCTCTTAAAAATACTTGTAACCTACCTTTCGGATCTATTTTTCCAATGAGATCTGGATGCTCAAAGCGGTCACCTAAAGAAGACGAACACTAGTAGTTCTAAAAAAGGAAGCGAACTGTTATATGTCTGCATATAATAACTACTCTCTTCATATAAGATCTCATACACGCCGAAAGAATCATAAACGTGGTGAAAAAAGTACTTGTAAGCAAGTCTTTAAAGTCATATCTCATGACACTCATCAGATGCCCCTTATCGAACGATCTCTCCTCATCGGAAGACGCCGATCCCTCCGATTCAGTATGATCCGCCTTAGCCTAAAAGCTCGAAAATCTTCGAAATGGAAAAGAAAAACATTCAATCAGAACTTGATGAATCAATGCAAAGGGAACGCAAAGAATTGACTAGACTCCTACTGTTCAAATATCTAACATTTCACACAGAAAATAAAGAATGAAAAAGAAAACCTTCTTGGCCGATGAGCGAGTTCTTCGACCCTCCCCAGATGGAGTTTGAAGTGCGCCACGAGATTTCCTTTTTGGTGGCATTCCTAGAGAACATATGCTAAATATCATCCTAACTATTAAGTACACATACAAGCGAATGTAATAAGGAAGAATGGAGAGGTGTTCAAAAGAAGGAAGAAATTCCGAGTAAAAACAATCCGTGCTATTAAAACGATGACGCAGAATCAACTGAACCCTTCGAGTAGTTGGCATAAGTTTTATCTATAGTGACCTTTCTATGACAAAAGAAGAAGAAAAAAGAAAGGGAATGAAACCAGAGAGCGCGAATAATAATATTTTGCATCCAGCAAGCAAATCCAATAGAAGGCGGAACATGGAGTGCAGACGGTGCATGGATTTTGCAACTGAGCAACGCTGAAGGCACGGTTGGATCCCTAGCGCTCTGAGCATTAGATCGGGTCTTTGGCGCTCTAAGGATTGGTTAAGGTTTATTCCTTAGGAAACCTATGTAGCACATTTGTTTCTCCACATAGAATGAGATGTTTTCCAGTGATTTCTGTTGTTTGCTTGATGGAGGGGTCAGCCTCGTAGTCCTACCAAATCTCACTTTGTTCTTATTTTGACTTTAGCGCTGTTTCTAATGCTAGTACAGTCTGTATAGAAATGTTCAGTAAGGTGGTTTCGTTTTATAGCAGCCATCGAGCATGGGAAAGGATAAGAAAAAAGAAGATGAGGACGATAATGGTGAAGTAAGTGTTAAACTCCTTTGATGACATAGATCTGTCACAGTAGTTTACCCGTTCTTTGGGTAAGAAATCCACTTCAGGATGTGTTTTTCGTTGAATCCGTTATAAACAAACGAAAGAATAAGGATGGAAAGGTGGAGTACCTTCTGAAGTGGCAGGTGAGTCCATCGAAATCTAACGATTTTCGAACATCTTTCTCATCGATGATGGGCAGTTCCCCTAACTAGCACATGCTAGTACGGCATGTCATAGTCCTGTGTTCTATTGTGGAGTAGGATTTATACCAGAAATCTTCTCGAAGGGTCCCTGGTTCTCTTTCGTTGATATACTTGTAAATTTAGGTACATTGAAAATTTAATACGGTTTTCTGTAAATGGAGCTAAGAATACGAGGCATGTAGCGCAATGGTCGGAGACGCCCTGCAATACACATGGGATCAATCCTGGCGTCCCAGGTTCAGCAAGCCTTTCATCCCTCCGGGGTCAGCAAATTGTTACCAAACTTCTCTGGGAGGATACCAGCACTGGCTCGATACATCGGTAGTCACCGCATCGTAAAGGCATCGTGAAGGCCAGATATGCATTCAGTCACCTTCAACGATGCTTGATGAAGTCAAACGCATGCGCATCCCTCAGGGGTTGATTAACGCCGAGAGCTGTTTTTTTTAATGCAAGGATTTCTGTAAACTTCTGTGAACTGAGTTTTTTTTCAGTGTCGTAGCTTTTTACTTTTCGCTTATTGTCTTATTTAATGGCAGGGTGCTACTATGAAATACGAACATAAAGATGCTGAGATATGAGCAAAACCCGTGAGGGTAGTTGCGTTTCGAGCTCGCGATTACGCTTGCGGCTGCTCACGTACTACACTACACTCCGAGCCGAGGCCCTTGCTTTGCCTTTACCTGAGCCATGTTTTTACTCTATTGGTGCTGTCATTCTCATTCACGTTGATGGATGGTTGTTGATAGCATCGATAGAGTGCTAAAATATGACGGAGAAAACAAAGCAAATGCCTCAGGTTGATGGGATGGATAACACGTGGGCCCTCGGAAAAGGTAGTCACTGGTTTAAAACTCAGCTGAAGTTGTGAGTTTTGCTTATATCTTGGAATCTTCATGGTTGTATCGTTTTCTTACATTGGAAGTAGTATACTCAAAAACATTGTGCAGTTCTTACATGGGTTTCACATTGACACTTTTCTTATTTAGGGATTTCCTTTGGAAGATAGCACTTGGGAACCTGAGGAAAATGTTGCTTGCCATGAACTTATTGCAGAATTCGAGAGGAAGAGAAGCAAGGTAGAAAGAAGCCAATTTTATTCTTAGCTTCGAAGGTGCTCTTGAATATGTGGGCGGATATTGTGGTGTGGCTCTGGTACACTTCTAATACGCTTGCAGCTCTAGTCCTTGGAAAGTTATATTTCGATAAAACATACTCGTGCATACATATTTCTATATAAAGAGGAAAAAAGGGGATTTGTCTAAGATCCTAGGTGTGCGACTCAGATTAGTGTTTATTGAAGTGTGCTTTGGATAAAATCAGTCGAGTGGAACGTATGATCCTAGATAGGTTTGTTGGCGTTATTTAAGGACTCCGCCTCTAATGAGAGCAGCTAAAGCCATTGTCGAGCCAAATATGTAAAGCTGGAGACTGTCTCTTAGAGTTGCCCCGTGTCTTAAAAATGGATATATAGGCACGTTGAACACCTTAGGTGGGCAAAATATGTGCTCTTCATTGTTTCGATCATTCATCTAGCCGTTGTTCGCACCGTTAGATTCGTAGGAATCAAACATCATCATTGTTTTATGCTAAAGGCAGCTTTAATATACACCGGTTTTATTAAATATTATATTACTTAATTGCGCGTGTAGTGTAGTGATCGGAGGCTCCCTGCAATACCCATGGGATCGATCCCCGCACCCCTTGGCTCACCAAGCCTTCCATCCCTCCTGGATCGGCAAATTAGTACCAGACTTGTGTGGGAGGATAGCAGCACAGGCTCGATACATCGGTTGGCCACGGCGAGTCATTTTAAAACTCAGATATGCATTAAATCACCTCTAAGTGATGCCAAATGATGAAAGGAGTCAAATGAAGAGGTACTTGGGAGTAATTTTGCAAGTCAAGTGAGTCCAAATGTGGTTTCTTTCTGTGTAAGTACAATGCGGTAAATAAACATGAATAATCAGGCAACTACCTACCTCTATTCATTTTCTGTCGTATTAGAAGAGGACTCGACCCACGACATTCAATTATGTCAAAGCCTGCTTCACCAATGTTTGTTTGTCATTTATACATTGCGAAATGATCTTAAGGAATGGAGGTATTTTTAGTAACTCCCACGTCCGACTTTCTATTAAACTCGGTATTCATTGAATAATTCAATGGGGACAACGACTGGCACCAAGCCTTGCCATTGCATTCTTGTCTAAGGTGGAAGCACCAGTAATCGACCTCGATCCGTTACTCTACTGTAGATATGTAGATGACTGCATGGTCATTTGTTCAACACAAGAAGAAATTGACAGATGTTTCGAGTTGTTGAACGAACAGTCAGAGTATATTAAATTCACCCGAGAGAAACCAAAAGAAAACAGGCTTCCATTTCTGAACGCGCAAGTTAGCCTATCAGAAAACGGCTTGTTCATTACCTCTCCTCTCACCCCTCTCACACGAAGAAAGCGCTTGTGAGAAACATGTATCGAACAGCTACCAGCGTGTGCACAGGAAGACAGCAGAGAGAGGAGTCTCTGAACTTGGCACGGCAAATAGCCATTTGTAATGGCTACGAAACTGTAACTCGAGATAGGTGTAAAGGAAACCACAGCTACCCCAAACGATAACTCTAGCGACAGCAAGGTCTCGTTTATACTGCCCTTCATTTCAAACGAAGTAAGTGCAGCTATAAAACACTGTTAAAGAAGGGCCAGTCTAGAGAATTCGATAACGATAATTGAAATGCCACCTAGTAATCTAAGACGCCGGCTAATTCGTAAACGCCTATACGACGGTCTATGTGCAACGCAAAATTGCATAATTTGCTCCAATGGTAGAGGCGGTGACTGCATGAGTTCGGGTACAGTCTACCTGATCTCTTATAAAGTGTGCGGGGCGAATACGTTGGCGAAACGGGTAAACCACTCTGCATACGTATGAAAGAACACCTAGTCGGCAGACGTAAACCAAATACTCCACTAGGCAAACATAGGACGCAATGACATAACGGAGAAGATTTTGAAGTAAGAGTTACGATCCTCGCGCAAGAATCGAGAGCACAAGCGCGCAAAATTCTCGAGGCGTTCTGGATTAATTCCAGGAATCCAAAAATGAACCGCAGGGAGGAATGCCTCATTATCACGCGTGATATTGGGCAGTATATAAGCGTGTTATTTTGATAAGATGGACACAACTCTGTGCGGTTGGTCTCCACGTGAAATATTTAGTGGAAGACTCATAGAAAGCGGTGAGCGTGCAAAGAGTCTGTGTTCAATGTGATTGAAATTTTGGTTCATCATTTTCTCTGTTTGGTTATGGAGGTGTTTGGCCGTGTAGATTGCAGTCAACTTGATCTTTCCAGGATCTGAGGAAGGCGAAATCCGCCGAAACGTCAGCTTGTACGTAAATGAAGGTTTTTTATTGCGGCCGTTTGTAAATCCTTTCCTTTTGAAGTTATAATACCACTTAGAACCGTTCGAGATCACTTCACGTTTGAGTTTATGGGTATGGTCGGTCCTATAAAGTCCGATATTTGACGAAAGAGATTGAGTGATTCTTAAGACTTCATATGGTGAGATGGTTTTGATTTCGTTTTGATTCCACGAAGTTGATAATCGAGCATTCCATCCACACTTGTTCTGAAAGCTGTCGTGCTTTCTTGAGTAGCCTCTGTAGCCTATATATTTTCTTTATGCTACAGAAATCTTACGTGAATCTTCTATGGCAGGTTTGACTGGTGCGCTAGTGATGTACCTTGAGGAACCTCGATTCGTCGTGCGAGTTGATTTCGTCGTCTGTGTATCATCTTGTCGCATTTTTAGATTTCATAATTCGTGAAAGTGAACAGTACTGTACTGCTCTAACAAGAATACAATCGAAGTTATTGGAATATGTATGGCGATGTTGTCTTCCTTCTGAAATCCACCGAACACTAAATGCATTCGGATACGTTATCAAATGGTTTAATCTTCAGCCGTCCACTTCAGCTACAGGTCAGAAGTTAAAGCAAGATTCAGGTGCTTGAAAGCGCTAACCTTTCTGGTGGTCGTTTTAGGCTTTTGAGGTCCTGATATGCTTTACGGATGTAGTCGGATGGTGAATCGTTATTGATTTTTCGAACCATTTGAATTAGATTATATAAGCCGTGAATAACTCCAAATTCCTCTTTGCAGAACAATTCAAGTGTAGAGTGCATTTTTCAATACAATATTTGTTCCACGTAATGCAAATCAAAAACAAGTTCTGTTTTCATACGGAAAAAAAGGAGACCGCTGCTACGTCGTCAGAGAAGCGCGAGGAGAAACAGCTCCTTCGCATTGTCGGTCTCACGGATACACCCGGTGAGCTCCACTTTTTGATCAAATGGAAAGACCATACCGCCGATCTCGTACCAGCCAAGGAAGCTAATGTGAAGTAAGTTACGGACGCTCCTTGTTCCCGAATTCTACTTCCTTTTTCAAAATTCTCTGTCGGTATTCTCCTTTTATGCAATTGTGTTCTAGATATCCACAAGAGGTTATTCGGTTCTATGAAGAAAGACTGAAAATGCAGTCGCGCTAATATAGGCTCCACCTGTGCTGAGTTTTATCAGCTTATCTTTATTTTTTTTTAATTGATTAGCTCATTCCTTACAGTTTGAAACTGATGTCTTATCTTGTTACCCAGTTCAATAAAAAAGATTTCAAGATGCTTAACACTTTTTTATTGTGTGGCGTTTTATTTTTACGCCATTTCTATCTAGCTATAACACAAGTTCACTGTTTATTACTGAGTTACTTAACTCTTGTTTTTTAACTGATTTTCCTGTTGGGGTTGTGAAGGTGTTTGGGCGACTAGATTGCATTCAACTTGACCTTTCCAGACTCTGAAGACGGTGAAATCCGCTGAAATGCCAACTTTTGTGACTAAATGATGTAGCAGCAACCACAACCTCATGTGTGCTTATCAAGGAAACAACAAGTCATCGATCAATGCTGCGGTTAATAAAAAATCGATCTTGGGTATTAACTTATAATGTCGGACGTAATTCCACTTCCACCCATAGATAGGTCGACGTCATGACGAGCGTATGTTGATGTCCACTCATTTTTTCAGGGATTGTTTTGTTGTATACAATCTTTTTTGTTGTGTTCAATCGATAGCTTATCGAACGCATATCATCGTAGTGGGCATGGGACCTTGAAACATATTCTGTATTCACAATAACGGTGTTGGTTCGATGCCATCACGGGTTCATCAAGGGTGTGATCGGGGCTCGGAAAATTGGTACCAGGCTTGTTTTAATGCAAACTCACTCTCTGCAATTGGGAAATTTCAGGACTGGCTAACTCAGGACTCCAGGGAGAATCGACTCAACCAGCATTAAGCAGAAGCAGAAGTTATTCACGAAAAATTCGAAGACGTTCGTGGATGATGGATGTAAGGAAACCAGCAAAATGCAAAGTCGCTGGAATCCGCCTAGTAGATGTGAAATACGGGTCGTGTCAAATAAACAAAAATGAGATTACTTAGTAGTTGAGGAAGGACTGTTTCACTTAGTAGTTTAGAAGAACATGTTTATTTTGTGGACGAGACACCATCACAACTGGAGATAGCAACCACCAGACAGACTTGCCGTTTAGGACGAACGGAGACGATTCTGCTGCACTTCAGCACATCCTAAGTGCCTGTGAATAATTTAGGCTTTCAACTTTGGACAGACATATCCTGACTCATCGTGAACTATACCAGTTTGAATACGGACTCTTTAGATCTGCAGAGCTTTATCAGCATTATACAGCTCTTCTTATTCCATCAAAATGAACTTCTGCTTTTGTGTAGTCCAAAAACATGGTATTGCTACGGAAGCTGGTACTTGAGGCACCGAAACGATTGTATAAGCGGATTTCTGTCCAGTGAGACTAATGTTCCTCAATGTATCGTTTGTGTTTACTGCTGCCGAGCTTCTTTTCAGGATGGATTGTCGAAATCATTTTTCAGATTTCTGAAGATTTAGTTCTAGAAAAATTGGCAGTTGTCTAGAGACCAGTATTGTCTACTGTGTGTCAATCACTTAAGGTGTCTATTGGCCAGTAACGGTTTTATTTTCAGTAACTACAATAGATTATAATTATGTTACGGAATGGCTATTGTGAAAAAACCACTTTGCGGAACGGTCTACTAAGTTCTAAGAGCAACGTAATTTCTTAGCGGTTTTTTCGTCGTAAGTTTTTCGTTTTTCGAATTCGAAATGTATCAGAACTATGGCAGGATACATAGAAGAAGTTAGAGGATATGCTGGGAAGGAAAACCACCGAAAATGCTGACAAAGTACATAGAAAAATCGAATTATAGAGGGAGAAGCACAACAGAGGCGAAGCCATTTGCTTGGCCGGTGTTGATGGCGGATATGAGTTGATATCTACATATAGCGAGTGAGTCAGACGTCAAGTAGATGCAGCGGCTATTTGGATTTAGGTTACGGTTTCTAAAAGTTATTGAAACCTATGTTCTTCAGAAATTGTTCACATTAGAGGTTCTTGAGACTTGGGACTCTAATACCGCAATGTAGTGAAATGATAACAAATTATGTAGTTAGTTAAAACAAATTAGTTAGAAGCAGTTGAAATGTCACTGTGGATGATTTCGTTGTAGAAATTCTTCCACATCTAATTCAACGATTTCGGTCCCGAAGAAATGCTTAGATATCTCGTGAGTGTTGCCAGGTTCTGTGATGATTCTTGACAACGTCGGTACCGCTACCATCGCCATGTATTCAGGATCTAATCGGCATTTTGGGAGTATCGCGGACTTAAGCTAAATAACAGATTGGTTTGCAAGAGGAATTTATGGGGTAAAGCTTTAGAGGAATCGTGGAAATGCTATGTTATTTAGTTTTCGGACAGTCATTTTTCGACCCATTCCAGTTCATGTTGCTATTTCTATATCGTATTGCCGGCGTACACTCCGTCCACAGTGGTTTACTACCTCATTATGTCTAAGAGGTGCTTCATGCTATTAAACCTAGATGTGCAATCGGCCTTTCAAAATGTGAATAACATCGCCATTAACTGGCAAGTGGTAACTGCCTTGGAAAACTTTAAGGGGATTTTCTAGACTTTACGAAGTAGGTCCTGCGTGGTGATCAAATTACTATTCAAATGGAAGTTATACTGCAGGCCGTAGGAACCTTTCTAAAACTGAAGCATTCAAACATAAAAATAGGTGTGCAGCTATTGGTATCGTAAATATGCTAGTTATGGAAAATCAGTTCTATACTGTGAATAATAATCTAACTTCAAACTTGGCGATGACATGTTTGAGCCGTGACGGATCGGGATGGTCCAGAGTCCCTTCGAACTGCAATTGAGAAACTTGGATTTAAAAGGATAATGCCAAAACCAGGTAAAACAAATGCACCACTACGTACACGTTAGAGCAGAAATGCAAAAAAAGAGATATGTGTTGGGAACTCAAGTGCGTCTTACTTATTCAACTACTTCAGGCACCAGATTACCTTGGGTTGAATCTAAAGAACTGAATTTGAGAATTGAATCCAAAGTGCTTTTCTTTGCAAATTTATATATTCAGGTCACGTTAGCTTAGAGTTAACTTCTAAGGTTCCATGGTACTTTTGTATGGTACAGCAAGAGGATTCAGATTTTTTGAATCGGCTCTCCATGTTGCGAAAACACCTCTAAACTAACAAAATTCAACGTCCATTGAAAAAAATTGAAGGCTTTGTATAGCTATGAAATCAGTAGGACGTTAATTAAAAATATAGGATCTGATAGCAATAAATCAAATAGAAAGTTATTTCGAATGGAATGCTTTACTTACTATTGCTAAAGTTTTCCCAGTTAACCACGGTGCCATGCATCCAACCAATCCGAGGTGAGTCTGTGGATGAGCCAAGGATAGACATGCTGAGAGTAGATGTGGGGAGAACCCCCATGTGGCTTGCAGTAATTGCTGAGTAGTTATTGTACGTAGATAGAGATCGGGTGTCCTGAACGAATGCTCTTCATCTCCAGTGAAAAAGTGTAATAGACAGTTGATGAAGCATAGGAGGACACACTTTATTCAAGCAAACGTGGCCAAGCGATGTGGAACACTTGCCGAATATTTTAGCTATTAAGTATTTATTTAAATATCGGTTCAAATTCTACTTTAGGGGCGTGTTTAGCGCAGTGGTCAGAGGTGCTCTGCAACACACATGGGATCGATCCCGTGCCCCAGGATCCTCATGCCTTCCATCCTTCCGGAGTCGCCAAATTGGTAGCAGACCTGTCTGGGAGTATGTCAGCACTGCCTCGATACATCACATCAGTAGACCACCGCGAGTCATTGTAAATATGCATTCATTCATCCTTACCGTTGCTTAATGAAGTCGAATGCATGGTGCATCCTGAGAGATTAATCAATGCTGGATGCTTTATTCTTTTCTTAGCCTTTCATCACTTCGAACTTTTTACTATATAGCTTAAATATTGTGCGATTTCCTTAGTAATTCGGTTTGTTTTCTTACATTTATCATCCAATAAAACCTCCTGATTCGCACATATGCTCGAACTTTCGATTTCGATCTGTTTTATAGATGTCATTGAATGCTAGGCGGATAGATTCTCATGGACATCCTAGGATACCCGTGGCAAGGGAGTCTAAGGTCTTCACCTCAGGTAGTCACTGGCCTTTTGTGTATCGGACGAAGCTCCTTCTAAACAAGTCTGGGATCAACTCCCCGACTGTGGAGAGGTAGAAGGCTTCATTGACCCGGGCCAGAGTCTAATCAGGGACATTGCACGTATTGAACAGTATATCTTCCACTTTAAAATTAAAGTATAAAACTACATTATTATTCGAAGTGCAAAGCATGAAATTGGTAGATATTAAGTTCTGCTGTTGCATGCACAGAGCGGAAAGTAAATAATTGGAACTACCCAGATATCTCAAGCCTGCAATATTCAGTCGTTTAGTAAAGCAGTCTTTAAACCTGGGGTTCGTCTGTGATAAATGTGAGAACGCTTAACAAACTCTTTGAGAGTTGGAGAGTAGTGCCGAATAAGTAGGTATGAAAGGCGTGGGGAGCTTTGGAAATGTGGTTCTTGAGGTCCTATTGGGTTTTTAACTAAAGAAAAATAAGAAGATACTTAGGGACTAAAATTTCTTTCAATAACGTACCATTGTGGTATAATGGCGAATGGGTGGTTAGCTGGCAACCATTCAGGTGCACATTGAGTGCATGCTTTGGTTATTTCCTTGCTCCATAAGAGGTCCACTTGGTCGTTCATTGGAACCTGGTTTAATGTTGCTATTATTTAGTGATATCTTAATCATCCGACAAGTATTTTAACATATTCGTAAAATTTTAACGCATCCGCGACGACGTGAGCCATATCTAGCTCCTAAGTGGTTTAGCCAGTATGGCCTCTAAAAAGGCCTTTTTTCTTCTGTTAGTTTCTTTTAACCCAGTGAACCATTTTAAGCAGTTGTAATAAATCGATAGGTTATCCACTTATATATGGGTTTTGGTACAAAAGTTTGCCGCGTGCGACGAATGTTACAAATAGAACAGATTGGAA